AATTTGTAATATTATATTCTACCCTACAGGTAAATGAGTTAGAAAAGAAGCTCGCTAATACCAAGCAACAACTAGTAACTTATGATACCAATTATAAGCATATGATTTTAGCTGAATATGCAATACTTAATATAGGTTGATGAGCTTACCATAATCAAAGAGCAGCTTCACAGAACAGCATCTGCTACCAAAGATAGCTTACTGAAGTCTGATCAACAACTGGTACATGTATATTAATCATAATTATGAAGATAATATGCATCTGTACTATAGGACAATAAGTTAGATGAAATGAAGCAGCAGTTTAGTATATATAGTTGTCAAAAACAAGAAATTGAAGAATTAAAAGATGAAATTAAAGTAAGTTAACTCAGAATTTTTGAAATTTAGAGTTAGCCAGCTAGTATACTGGAGATAAAGTTGTATTTTTATAACCTGTACAGGTATTTTAGAGATCAAAACAGGAGCTAGAAAATCAGCTGTCATTAAAGCAAGAAGAGGTCATGTCATTTCGTAAAATGCTCTCAGGGTTTCAGAGTTGTTGGGAAGTTAGTCATGGAAACATTTCTTCATCAAAAAAAGCTTTGGGTAGAGGAGCATGGGGTGTCGTCCTGATGGGTCAATTGAGGGTAGCAGTCAAACAATTACACCAAGCAATTGAAAATCCGCATTATTTAGAGATACTTTATCGTGAGATTGATATAATGTCACAGTTACGTCATCCTAATCTCCTCCAGTTTATAGGAGCTGTATTAGATGATCCATCAGGCTATCCTCTAATTATCACTGAAGTAATGGATACCTCATTACGTAAAGCTTATGAGAACAAGGAACTAACTCCTGATCCAGGCTGTAGACCAGTGATTCTCTCTATAATGCATGATGTAGCTGTTGGTTTAAACTACCTACACTGTCTACCTGATCCTATTATTCATCGTGATGTCAGCAGTGGTAATGTACTCCTTCAGTCAATTGCTGGACCCAACAAATGGAAAGCAAAAGTATCCGACTTTGGATCAGCTAATTTAGCTCATAAATCAAATACAAGAGCACCAGGAGCAGCAGCATACAGTGCACCAGAAGTACTTCAAAGTATTAAAAGCTATGATTCTAAGAAGCAAACTACAAAGATGGATGTATTCAGTTATGGTGTTCTACTTTGTGAAATAATCGTGTGTCGCTTTCCAGACATGGACTTTTTTCAAGACATGCTTAGTCAAGTCAAAACTATTGGTGCTAGACCGAGATGTAACAGATATACTCAAGGCATTCTTTTACACTCTCTTATTGATTTATGTATGAACAATGATCCTCTGAAGCGACCAACAATGAATCAGATTGTAGAAAAACTGGATGCCATATAAATTAGTTTAACTGTTGGAGT